CATTAATTCATTTAACCCTAAGATCCTTAAGATATTACTGTTATCCACTTAAATAAGGGAACTGTGATTCAGAGAAATTAAGTGACCTTCCCAGATGGAGGAGCTAAGAAATCTGGCTTTCAGTCACTTTGAATCACTTGCCAATAAGGCCTTGCTGAAAACTTGAGGGAGCCAGGCCTTGCCCCCGAGAAGCTCGCAGTCTAGTTAGAGAGCAGATGAACATATTTGAGTGGGGAGCTCAGCCTAGGATGGATGACAAGGAACCAGGGAGGGTTTCCTGGAGGAGGTGATGTCCAAGCTGAATCCAGCAGGATGTATAGGAGCCAGCTGGGGGAAGAATGGGACGTAGGGTATCATGAGGCTGGGGGAAGAGCTTCAACAAACACACAGAAGCGAGTGAGGACTTGTGTTTGGGTCACAGCAAGCAGCTGGAACCAGGGTGCAAGGGGAGAAGCTAGGAAGTTGGCAGGAATTAAATCGTGAAGGGCCTCGTACGTCAGACTAAAGGCACCAGGAAGCCACTGCGGGGATTTATACCAAAGGGACCAGGTTGAGAGCCTCTGGTCCCCAACCCACTGGTCCACGACCTGTTAGGAACCGGGCCGCACAGCAGGAGGTGAGCGGCGGGCGGTGGGCAAGCGAGCGAAGCTCCATCTGCCGCCCCCCATCACTCCCCATCACTCGCATTACTGCCTGAAAACACCCCCTCCCCACCACTCCACCCCCGGTCGGTCCGTGGAAAAATTGTCTTCCACGAAACCAGTCCCGGTGCCAAAAACGTTGGGGACCGCTGCTCTCGGTAGCTGAACAGAAGGCAGAAAAACCACGAGGGCACTGCAGACATTAGTGTGAAACGTGTGTGGCTTAAACTAAGGTCTGGAAGTGGACAAATCTGAAAGATTTTCTAGAAGGGAGAATTGATAGGACTCTGTGCTGATTGGACATGGGGAGTGTCATTTGTGGAGAAGGGAGGAGCCAGGTCTGGGGCAGCAGGATGGGCAGCCAGTCCCCAGATATGTGTGGCCTGCCTGCTTTGTGGCAGTGGCGATCCTCACCGTGGACACAGGCCCTGTTCTGACTTCATGTGGGTGCAGTAGATGCATTATGACCACTGGGCTGTGGGATGCATGTGCCTATTGAGATGTCAGTCATGCAGGCAGGGACCCAGCTGGCCCAGCTCCCGGGAGCTGGGCTGGGGAAGTGGGCCTCCCCGCCTCGCCCTCCCCGAAGGCACAACCTCTTCTTTGTCGGTTACAAAGGAAGTCGACTTTCCGTGTATTGGACATATGGACAGTGTCTATTATTGTCCTCTTTTCCCGTGTGGCTTAAGGATTGCTTGGCCAGTAAGCACTGCTTTTGGACCTAGTTTCTCCTAGGATACCAGCACATGGCCGTTTGGAAGGCAGCTGCCCTGAAGCCCTCAGCCTAGCTTTGGGACAGGAGCTGTGAGATCCTGGGGGTTGCTTCCAGGTTCCCCCATACTCCAGTTTCTCTGGGCTCTAGGGGACAACTTCTGGGGCCTGGGTGAACCTGGTGCCCAAGGAGAAGCTTGTAAAAGGAGATAAGGGACTCCTTATATTTTTAGGACCCTGGGAGGAAAGCAGGGTGGATGACAACCATGCCTTTGTAGAGTAAAATGGGAACTTCTGAAAACTGAGGACCAAAAGCTAGGTTCAGTTTTGGCCACGCTTAGGCTGGGGGCTGGGGGCTGGGGGAGAGCAGCAGCAGCCCTCTTGTGGTTATGAGGGGCATGTGGGCTTTGTTCATCACGCAGCTGGCCTCCTCCCTCAGTTTAGCAGACCCCAGCATTTCTGGAACTCTGTCCTCTGGTCCTTCTCCATCCAAGGAAATCAGACGGGGCGCTCCGGATTATTTAGCTCTGAATTCCTCCCTGCGCTTCAGAAAAGCCCACCTGGTGTTCAGACAGACATGAATCCCCATCGGCTTTTGTGCCAGTTCTGGCACCTACCATACCAGGGGTCAGTTTTGCTGCCCAGGCCTGCCATGAGCACAGCTACGGTCCATTTTGACTCCCGGCTGACTCCCGGGGGGCCTGGCACATTATCCATCGCGGACTAGGTGCTCCAGGTGTGTCTCAGGTGTAATACAAGCTCCCAGAGAACCTTTCAGAGGCTGGGGGCGGGGGTGTGCGGTGTGGGCAGGATCGTAAGAGCCCGTGCAGAGTGGAAAGTTGGGGAGGGGCAGCCGCTGCTCAGGAAGAACGGACTGTGGGCTTGAGGAAGGGCTCCAGGGCCTGGGCACGGACGGCGGCAGCGCGCGCTGGAGCCCCCGCCTGCTCCCTCTCCCCAAGTGTGCGCTAGGCTTTCGTTACTCTGGCAACTGGCCCCGCTCAGACGGCAGCAGGCAGCTGAATCCAGCCCCTTGTTACGGGGGAAAATGCTCTCATTGAAGCGCCCGAGCGGAGCTTCTGCCTTTTATTGCAACCGGCCCCGCCGGCTTCCATTTGGAAACTTATTAGTGTGCGCTCGCGGCGAGAGGGCCGGGGAATCCGGGGCGCGGCCGGGGGAAGGCAGAGGCGACGGCCGCCGAATGCTAATCAGCGGGGCGAGCAGAGCCGAGGGGCGGGAAGGGGCCGCCCGGCCCCAAGCCCCGCCCTAGAGTTGACCTCGGCCTGACCTGCTTTGATTCCCAGACTTCGCGCTAGGAGTGGGGTCGAAGCGCACGGAGGGAAAGGGTCTTAGGACCCAGAGAGGAGCTGTCTCCTGGGGAAGGACGGGGCCGGCTCCCCACGCTGCCCTGAGGGCGCTGTAGCCCCCGTCCCTGGGCTTCCTGCAGCCACAGTCTGCCGGTGCCTGCCCACCCCGCCAGGGGAGGCCGCCCGCGCCCGGAATAATAATGCGCCTGCTCGCCCGCGCCTCCTTATTTTGTTAAAGGGCAGTGGCCCCGGCTGCCGTAGCAGGTAATTAGCTGGACAGATGGGGGACCGGCGCGGAGGTAGATGTTCTCAGTGAAGACAGGCGCCCTTCTCCTTGCCTCGCTCCCTAAAGGCTCCCGAGTGGGATGACGAACGAAGCGTGGGCCTTCCGGAAGCGGGCTGCTTTGGACCCATCTCAGGACTTCGACAAGGGCGGCTCTTTGTTTACAGTTCCTCTTTCCCTTTCCATTTCCTTTTCTCCCACCTCCTCCCCCTTTCCGGTTATCTGCTTCACCCGGGGCGGGGGGCGGCGGGGATGGGGCGAGGAGGTCCTCTCTAACTGCCCACCTCCCAATCCCCGTTATTCTGTTGGGGACCCTTTGCCAGGGAGGCTGTCACACACATCAGGGCCTAGGCAGTGATGCTGGGGCAGGCGTGGGAGGACAGACTGCGGAGCCCACGTCATCCAGCCCAGGGGGAGTGCTGTGCTGCTCTCCTGCCAGCGGGTGGAGGTACCTGGGCTGCGCCAAGCAGGGCTTTGCCTGCCGTGTGGCCATCAGCTGCTGACCTCATTAGGGCTCCTGTCATGGAGGAGAGGGCCGTTAAAGGTCCATAAGAACCTCAGCTAAGTGGCTGCAAAGATGACAGCCTCCCTGGAAACTCGCTTTCCAGTGAGCTGCTGCATCCTCTCCTCCTTCAATTAGCAGGAGGGAGCTGGACAAGTTGTTACAACTGAAGGGAAAACGATAAAAGATGGCTTTGTATTAGTGTGGCAAATTTTATTAAATCGAGAGAAAGGGTAACTGAAACATGACAGCCGTGTATGTAGTGCCTCCTGAATTTGTAATAACCCAATCTTGCTGTGAATCATCCCTGCGTTGACAAATGGAATATACAGCATTTAACAGATCCAGTATTGTAAGAGATACAACAGAACGGCCGAATGCGGAGAGACAGGTAGGGGAAGAGGGTCTCCAACCCAGGGCAGCGCTCACTGGTTAATGAGCAGAAATACAGGGTCTGGCCTAAGGCTTTGTCTCCTTATTTACTACCTCCCCCGCGCTTTTCCCTACGTCTCAGTCTTTCCACTTATAATTCAGAGGTAATATCTGTCCACAAGAGAAAACTAATAGCACATTAGTTGGTAGGGAATGGACAAAGCCATCTTTTCCTAAAGGGAGGAAAAGGTGAGACAGGAAATCCAGGAGAAAGAGCTGAGCTGCGTAGCTGTTCTGGGCTTGGGGAGCTCTTTGGTACTCAAGCCGGAAGGGGGGTGATCGTGTGTTTACTATGCATTAACTGTGGTGCCAGTAGCTGTCATTATTTTGATGATAAGAGATCTGAGCGAGGCCTGGAGAGGTTAAGTCATATATCCCAGGGTCTAGTAAATGGCAGCCTGGATCTGTACTTTGGTCTTTCAGACTCCAAAGCCTATACTTTGCCTGTTACCCTAGGCCTCAGGGGGTTTTTTTGTGTTTTTTTTTTTAAGGTTTTTATTGGAGTATAATTGCTTTACAGTGGTGTGTTAGTTTCTGCTTTATAACAAAGTGAATCAGTTATACATGTACATATATCCCCATATCTCTTCCCTCTTGCATCTCCCTCCCTCCCACCTTCCCCATCCCACCCCTCCAGGCGGTCACAAAGCACCGAGCTCCTCGTGCTATGCAGCTGCTTCCCACTAGCTATCTGCCTTACATTTGGTAGTGTATATATGTCCATGCCACTCTCTCACTTCGTCCCAGCTTACACTTCCCCCTCCCCGTGTCCTCAAGTCCATTTTCTGGTAGGTCTGCGTCTTTATTCCCGTCTTGCCCCTATGTTCTTCATGACCATTTTTTTTTTTTTTGGATTCTATATATATGTGTTAGTATATGGTATTTGTTTTTCCCTTTCTGACTTACTTCACTCTGTATGACAGACTCTAGGTCCATTCACCTCACTACAAATAACTCAATTTCGTTCGTTTTTATTAGGCCTCAGATTTTAGTTGACAGATGAAACGGGAAAAAATTTTTCATTTGTAGAGGCCATTTAGTGAGGAATTATAGCCCTTGAGCAACAATCTAAGGGATTTCGAGAGATCTTCTGATCAAGGTGAGATATTATTTCCTCTGCTTTTCAGAGGGAAGTGACGGGGGCCCAGCAATGTTAAGCAACTTGTCCAGGGTGATCCAGCCAGGAAGTGACTGAGAAAGGAGACCAGACCTCACATCCCTTCTGAATAAGGCCTCGGACGTCAGATAAATCCATGCTGTATTAAAATACGGTCTACTTGAGGTAATTGCAAACTAATCTGTGGGCTAGTTGGGCCAACATATGATGTGGTTTTAGACCTACCAGAGTTGGAATGAGGAAGGTGCTTGGCATGTGCATCACAAACTGTTCTAACAGCATGCAAACTTGTTTTTGACTTTACGTTCAGTTTTTTTAAAAGACTTTATTTTTTAAGAGCAGTTTTAGGTTTACAATAAAATTGAGGAGAAGGTACAGAGATTTCCCACATACCCCCTGCTCCCACACATGTATAGTCTCCTCCGTTATCAGCACCACTACCATCAGCATCACAGAATGGTACTTGTTACCAAGGATGCACCTACACTGACACGTCATAATTACCCATAGATCCATGGTTTACCTAAGGGTTCACGCTTGGTGCTGTACATTAATAGGTTTGGACAAAGGTATAATGACGTAAATCCATCACGGTAGTATCATACAGAGTACTTTGCCCTAAAAATCCTCTGGGCTCTGCCTATTCATCTCTTCCCCCTCTCCACACCTGGAAACCACTGATCTTTTTATCATCTCCATAGTTTTGCTTTTTTAGGTTCAGTTTTCTGAACGGGAGATGGTAGAGTTAAGTGGATTCATAATTGGTTGAGCAGTCACTGGGTTGATGTCTGTCAGCTAGGAGGGAGTTTCGAGGAGCATGTTAGCAGGACTTTGTCCTTGTTCTTACCCACTTCTATGTTTTTGGTGTGTTGATGTTGGAATTAATACTTAAAAAGCTCTCAGCAGGATGGGAGAGGGGCTGGAGAGGGGATTTCTGTGGAGGTTAGCAGAACTATGGGTGTAGAATGGACTCGTGGACACATGATTGAAAGCCTTGGGTGCCAGGGCTCCAAGAGAGGCCACAGAGTGGCCAGCTGGCCCTTCCTGAACAGAGGAAGAGGCTGATGAAGTGATGGTCTCCAGGACAGAGAGAGAAGCCCATGTTCCCTTCCGAGACCCTCACGCCTGGCCCTAGGTACCGAGTGTCACCTGATGTCAACAGGAGGAGTTTCCTGTGTAACTAGCATGTCACACTGTTGGGCTTTTCACAAGTCACCTGTCCCTTCACCTGCCACAAGGCAGGTATAAACCCAAAACATCCCATACAGATGGTTGTCTAGCCCCATAAAATCTCCAACGAAGACTTTGCAACCTCTTCAGGGGATGCGATCAAATGTTGCTCACTTCCCTGCAGTGAGGCTGGTCCTCCTGGGGTCCAGCCTGACTTCTCACTGCTGCCGCCCCTTCTCTTCTGTCCTCAGAGGAGACAGGTGTACACTGCCATCTTCCCAGTCACTCTTCCTAGATTTGAAGGCTGATATGTAAGTCCCATCTCTCCTCTCACTCAAGTTCTTGCTGCCAAAGACGGAGCTCGGCCTTTGGAGGGTTTCACACCCCACTCAGGAGTGATTAACGCATCCCTTTCCCCATTGTGGAGAGGAAATGAGCAAAGCACTTCGTTCAAAAACAGGAGACAAAAATATGGAATTCAACCCCAGGCTCCAGTTTGGGTTTGCAAAGTGGAAAACAACACAGAGACATTTTCCAGGTTCTTTTACGTTATTCCCTCTATAATGTGTCCCAAAATATTTTCCAAGTGATTCATCTACAATCCAATAAGAACAAGGGCTGTTGCCGTTTGTATGAAAGGAGCAGAGGCGCATTCGTGAGCGATTTTATTTTATTAAGGGGAAATGGCACAGGTGTTTAGAGACCGGAGGCATCAAGGTCTGTGCCCAGGGCGTCTGCAGCTCCAGGCGGGGCAGCCGGCACCACTGCAGGTAGAAGAATAGACCGACCAAGAAGCACCCTGTGGCTACCGAAGGACAGGGCTGCCCGCTGTGGAGACTTTTAACTTCAGTGGCAGTTCTCCTGCCACTCAAAGATCTCTTCATAGCCTGCTAATTTAAAAAAAATTAGTATTAACAATAATAATTCACATTTGTAAGTGTTTACAGTGCTACCTTCTAGCCATCTCTGTCTTGATCCTGATTAGCACTCTAAGATTGGAACAGGTACTATAGTCTCCATTTTACAGATGAAAAAACTGAGGCTTTCAGGTGTTTACTACTTTGTCCAAGATTAAGAGGCTCCCCGTCTCTCATCCTCCCATTTCTGTATGTGGGTGTCCCCTTGTGAGTGTCAGGGATTTTGTGTTGCTTTCTGATTTGGGGGAGGAGGTGTGGGCGTCCCTAAAGGGCAGTGTTGCCGAGGGTCAGTCACTGAGAGAAGAGGAGCGTTGTTAGCCAGGAAACAGGAGTGGCCAGGAGGACCCCAGGGTGGCAGGGGAGAAGCTCTGGGCCCCACTCCTGTGAATACAGACTTGGAGGAGGCTGGGCATAGGGAAAGTTGCTGTCTCTGCATGGGCAGGCAGGGTCTAGGTCGTAAGCGTGAACTGGGAACCCCGAAGAGGGTCTGACTACCCACAAAAAGCCAGGTTCCTTGTTCCTTTCCCCTTTGTATTTCCAGGCTCTTAGAAAAGTCTTATTTAATCATTCCAGTCTCATTAGTTGTGTTTCTTGGCATGAAGGCAGCAGACCCATGTCCACAGCAAAGCATTATTTGAAAGGGGTGGTGACTGCCTCTGAGACTACCCTGCTGATGTCAGCATGATGAGTGAGACAGTGAGACACCCCAGGACAAGATGAAGCTTAGGTGACAAAGGTCAGGGGAGAAGGACCGCTGCCTTGCCTCACTGGAGAGCCTCCCTCCGCGGCCCTCACCAGAGGGTCAGGGTTTGAGGCCTTTTAAAGCTAAATTGTTCACAACCGTGTGAGTATACTTAACACTACTGAGCTGTACACTTAAAAGTGGTTAAGATGGTAAATTTTATGTTTTGTGTATTTTACCACAATAAAAAAATGAAAAATAACTAATTGTAATAATTGCTCGTAGTTCAGAAGTCAAACAACATACAGAGTGAAGTAAGAAAGAGAAAAACAAATACCGTATGCTAACACATAGATACGGAATCTAAAAAAAAAAAAAAAAAATTGGTTCTGAAGAACCTAGGGACAGGACAGGAATAAAGACGCAGACGTAGAGAATGTACTTGAGGACACGGGGAGGGGGAAGGGTAAGCTGGGACGAAGTGAGAGACTGGCATGGATTTATAAATACTACCAAATGTAAAACAGATAGCTAGTGGGAAGCAGCCCCATAGCACAGGGAGATCAGCTAGGTGCTTTGTGACCACCCAGAGGGGTGGGATAGGGAGGGTGGGAGGGAGACGCAAGAGGGAGGGGTTATGGGGATGTATGTATATGTATAGCTGATTCACTCTGTTATACAAAAAAAAAAAAAGGGTCAAACTGTATTAAAAGGCTTATGACAATAGACAATAAATTTCTCTGCTCTAAACCCCCTTGTCCCACAGCCTCCCTTCCTAGAAACAATGGCTTTCGACTTTTCAGCTGTTTCTTCTGACATTTAGGTATCTCCATAGTTCTAAATTATATGTATGTATTGTTATAGTTTAATGCATTGGTTATATTATCTATTGACTATTTATGGTAATGAGGATTTAGTTCTCTCACACTGCCTTCCCCTCTGATTCTTACCCCTTATATAGTGTATTCAAATTTTACTTAAATCAATATTCAGGATTTACAATGTTACGCCTATTTGAATATTATTCACACCTGACTGTTATACTGTGGTTATGTTTCTTTTGTTTTTGTTTTTTTCCTGTTTTTGTTAATAACTGCCTCGTTTAGCTTAATTTTTTTGCTTTAATTTTCTTTGTGTCTACCGATAGCCTCTCAGAATAATTTTCCTCAAGGTCACTCTCATCAGGCAGTCGGTCAGTTCCAGTAGATTTCTCGGAAACTTTGCTCCCGGACACCTCTGTTCTGCCTTGTCTGGGGTAGCTTGTTCCCAGGCCTGCGGCTGTGTTATCCTGGGACCTCCCTCTGCTCTGATCCTGGGAATTCCCTTTGCCCTTCTGTGATTTACATTCCCTACTGCTAGGATCTTGCATCTTCTTTTTTGGTTTGCTCCATTGTTTTGTTGGAGCACATTCTCCAGGAGTTTTCTCGGGTTCGAAAGATGTGCAGTGGCCGAGGGCGTGGTGACCACAGTCTGTGGAATGGCACTGTACACTCTGGACCAGTGCCCTCTGCACCTGGTGCTCAGCAGTCCCCTCTCCCTCCTGTTTTCTGTAGCTCACATTGTCCTTTTTCTTATTCCTTCATCTTGCTGGAGGATTTTGAGTTTTAGGGAGGCCGGTTGGTGGTGGGGCCCTTGCACATGTCACACTAGTAGGTGGCAGAACTGTGACTTGGACCCAGATCCAGATCCAGGATCCTTGGACCCAGATCAAGGATCCAGGATCCTTGTAAGGATCAAGGCCATCACTGTCCTACAGCTTGCTTTGCCTGTCCTACAGCTCTGCGCATGCCCCTCTCCCCTTTTAAATTAACTATAGTCGATTTACCAAATTGTGTTATTTTCAGGCACAGCTTCAGATTCTTTTTCACTATAGGTTATGACGAGATATTGAATATATAGTTCCCTGAGCTATGCAGTAAATCCTTGTTGTTTACCTATTTTATATATATAGTGATGTATCTGTTAATCCTATACTCCTAATTTATCCCTCCCCCTGGCTCATGCCCCTTTGAATTGGCAGGAAGTCAGTGGAGGGATCCCCTCTACAACAGGCCTACTAGCCTTTGCCTGAAAGAATTCAGGCCTGAATCCCACAGGTAAAGGAGTAAAGAGCGTGGGAGAGAGAGTGAGGCTCCTCTGAAGTCCCTTGTAACTCAGTGGGTAAGAGCGTGTTGAGATGTTGAACAGAGCGGTAGGGCCTGTCTTCCTGCGGGCTGTCTCTGGGAGGACTTGCCCGGCCTGCTTTAAGGACGCTGCCTCCTCCTTACTGGCTTCCTTCTGTCCCTCTTTCAAGCCCCGCCTAGAGCATTGCTTTTCTTGGGATGTTTCCCAGGCCGAGTGCAAGCAAGATGGCAATGCATGCCAGGAGTCTTGCATGAATAAAAATCCACAGATAA